TGTCCATCCTTCAAAACACTTCCTTGCTCTTGAGTTAACATTTGTCCTCTTCAGCCTGCTCTTAGATCCTGGCAGCTGCATTCTCTCCCCCCGATTCAGTACAGCTTCGTCCTTTATGCCCTGTAACCACAGCGGGGTTGTGCTGCTTTTGCAGCCTCAAACTAGAAGCTAACACAGTTGAAGCACTACAAAACCGGTGGGGACAAACCCTGTGTACGCCAGACCTTGGGGCTGCTGTTGCAGACCATGCATGGCTGTTCGTCTGAGACTTGGTGGAATGCAAATACTTTAGATTAAGGATTCAAATGAGTTGCACTAGAATGAGACTCTTGTGATGAGAGTGGGCTTGGTGGCACTGAATAGGCACAGCAACCTAGTTAAACTCTTTAACTTGTAATAAGCTACTGCTCCGAGGGGCTATAAAAGATCCTACGTCAGTGAGGTGTTAGGGCTGCACTTCTAGATTAGTTCAGACTTCTAGTTTGGTGGTGTTTTTTTTTTTTCTTTAACTATGTGCCTGAACGGTTGTCCAGTAAATCCTGCTGCCTCTGACCAGCTCTGCTGTGTATTGCCGTCAGCCCTGGCTTGCAGCAGTCTTGCTCTGACTCAGGGTTTCTGGCACTTGCCTGGCCTTGCAGCTCCCGGAGACTCTGCTGTCACCTTCTGAGTAATGGCCCTGGCCCCTTACCCAAAGCAATGACTCGGACTTCTGAGATGCTGTAGCACAGAGGTGAATCTCTTCTTACGGGGTTGGAAAAGGGGGGACAAGCAAAACTAGTGCTGCTTGGCAGAGGGTCTGTGCTGCCCGTGGCACCAAGCACCTTCACTGCTGCCTCTCGTCTAATCGGCCTTGGGTTGTGGCTAGGATGGGCAAAAAAAGCTATCGGGCTCTGACATATGACTGCTGCCAGTAGCTGAGTTGGTGTTGGCAAAGGCAGATCAGAAAATGGCATTGTCTTGAGCAGCCACTGACTTGCTCTGTCAGCTCTGTGGTTGCTGCATTTTCAAACAGATACAGTTGGAAATGAGAGCTGCATGGCGGAGAGAGAGGAAAGTAGCAGTATTATCTGAAATGACTGAAAGCGTTCAAAGCAAGCTACAGGAGTGGAAAGTCTCAAAAGAGGGGGTTAAATACTTAGTCCTGAATGTGGAGAAAATGTCAGCGTAGGAGGGGAAAACACGCAAGATGTAGCTGCGTCCCTCTCAATTTCTGAAGGCTGTCTGACTTCAAAAATACCCTTCTTGTAAAAGTCTTGTTTTTGCTGGAAACATGCACTCTTGTCAGTTTTATCCTTAAATCCTTTGAGGCTGAGACTCTGCTTATAAAATGCCAAGAGGCTGTTAGACAAATTATTGGGATAACTTAAAAATCAAAGCAGTTAATTAAAATCTCAGAGAGCCACTCCTTGGGGTGGGAAGGAGACTGGGAGACTGTAGCACTGTTACCCAAACAGCTAGTGTCATGTCAAGCAAAACCAAGGTTTCTTCTTGTTTAAACAAATTGCATTCTGTCAGGGAAAGCAAAGCCTGTCATGGGAAGGATTTATCTCTTCTGATGTTGCTGTACCTCAACTGCTGAAGGGGAAGAGGTCTCTCTACCGCAGTTAAACTAAAACTGTGCTGCTGTCTGCTGTAAAGCTTGAATACAAAGCACCGTGGCCTTGCCCTGTTTACCTTGCTGCGAGGCTAACTCTACCCTTTAGCTGCCATTACAGTCAAACTATAGCAATAAAAATAAATGTTAACATGCATTAATGACTTTGAAAATGCCTGCCTTGGACTCGCACCAAAATGGCCTGCATGACACAGTAGGCAGAAATCTTGGCGCATAAGGCGAGGTGAGTGAAGGGAGCATGGCTGGAAGGAGGGTGCCTGGTGTGATGGGTGCTGCCGCGCTGGCCTGGAGAGGAGTGGGACCCACAGGTGAAAGGACGGACCCTGGCCAGCGTGGTGCTAGGAGGGTGGCAGAAGCTTCTTTTATGGGCTAGTGTCCCCCTTGAAAAACAGAGAAACTTCTACTCTCCCCCAAATGGAAATACAGTCCTTACTGATGTCAGGAGCTTTTGCTTAGAAGGCTCTGTTCCCCAGCGAGATAAATATTTATTGCAAATCCACAGCGTGCAGTGGAGCAGACTCTGGAGCCAGGATCTTGCAGGAGACTGTTTATGTGCGGGCTGTTCTTGGCGCTAATTCCAAATTTCCTGAGGCTGAGTATGAGAAGCTGGTTCTGCGCGTTGGTTACTAAATGACTTGCTAGTCCAGCCGAGCGCAGGCTTTGCAGAGCCAAGGAAGGAGTGACCAAAACAATAGCTGGGTCCCTCTGCTCCTGGCTGTGACAGTGCGGGTGCAGAGATGTGGTCAGGGAGGGCTGGAAAACTGCAGCCAGCTGCTCACCCCCTGCTCGGAGAGGGGAGGAAGCCTGGCTGGGAGTCCAGAGCTCTCCAAGAGAAGAAAATGCTCCCAGGAGTGACAGGTTTCCCAAAGTACAGCTGCATTATCCTCAATAGCACATGCTGTGTCTACTGCTTTCTGGGCCCAAGCCAAGGCAACCTCTGCACAAGTCAGGAATGTCTTTATTAAAAAAACAAACAAAACAACAAAAAAACCCCGCACACACTGAAAACCCAGCCTCTGCTGCTGTAGCTAACTAGGAAAATCCTTGCTGTTGAAAACTTTGTTTGTATAAATGCTTACACGGGTATAGCCTGATAGCAGAGTGGTACGGCTACCCTGTCTCGAGTGCTTTTGTGCTGATAACTTCCTCTGCTACAATTTTTTGCTGGTAAATTTGCCAACAGAGCAAAACTTTAAATAGCGTAACTGTGCTAGCCCAGGTGGTTTTGCTCTGCCAAGCCTAATTCTTTGGGCTACTACTTCTGATTAGATTAAAATGGCTTGTGGGAGGGGAAGCACTTGGGGCACAGCATTGGGAATCTTGACTGTACAAACAAGCTGAGATTAGCTGAATGGTGAGCCAGCTAGGAAAGGCACCCTTTGAAGTTGGGTGTCTGCATGGCTTAATTTTGTTAACACTCTGACATGAGGGAGCATAAAGATCCCAAAAATGCACGTCATGCATTTCTTGCCAAGTGGAAATTCTGCTTGTGTGCGTGTCCAGGGAAATATTAGGGTGTAGCTGTATTCTAGGAAAGGGCAGTGAGGGTAGTTCTCTCCCTGGCATGAGGGGGAAATATGATATATGAAATATCCCACACCTGAAGTATCAGCATGGTGGTAAAAAGCTACTGGATGGAAAAGCTGCTTTGCTGGGGCCTTTATATCCTTTTTTTCTTCCACGGACAAGGATGCAATAGGAGCCTCCTGGTATAGAGTAGGGCAACTCAGAGTGAGTCGTGAGGCTGAAAAACTGAATTCCTTTTTTAACCTTGAATAGATTTCTCCAACTTCTGAACTGAGAGGTGAAGTGTATGAAATACCTATGATCAGATTTGTAAATACCGTAACAAACACAATCTCTTTATGAAGTAGGTGTGTATCACTGCCTGTGACCAGTAGAACCTTTCAGGGGCGCGAAATGTCTCTGCCGCAGTTGTTTTCCTCCTGAGTCACATGAGAGCTCCTGCTTTCCCCTCCTGCAGTTTTCCTCTGAACCTTATCTTTATTTGCTTCAGGGCAAGTGATTGACACGCAGCCATCTGCAACTGCCTGCTGAGCTTTATCTCCTCTAGCTGGAGGGGGCAAGGAGTCCTCTCCTTCCCGCTCGGCTCTGTAGGTCTCTGGAGCTGGGCATCCAGTATTTAGAGCAGCTGTTTTGCCACCCTTGCAGTAAACAGATTCCAGCATGTGCCTGTCTGGCAAAGGACTCAATTTTTATGGCTTTGCTCTTGGTTGATAATCGGGCAAGAGCAGTTAAACAAGAATTCATTCCTTTGTAATCTCTCCATCCTCCTCCTGCTTGCTTCTACGGCATGGCCTGAAAGGCACACGCGTACGGCGTGGTCTGAAGAGAGCAAGCAGTGTGTAAGCAAATGCACGTGAGTTAAAAGGTAGCTGAGGTTTGACTTTGTAAGTACAGGGAAGTCTATTTAGAGCAAGTAGATCCTGGAAGGATTCATCCCTGCCACAGGGGAGGCACCCGTGACAGCGGGTCGCTCTCCAGAGCCCGGGATTAGGGTGTAATTGTCACGGGGATTATGCCTCCACTGCCGCATGAGCCCCCAGGAGAGCTGCTTGCGGCAGCGGAGCTTAAAGCATCACACGGGGGAGCAGGGACAAGTCGGGGAGTGACCCAGGCCGAGGCTGTGTTAGTGCTGGACGTGCGTTACTGCGCTTTCCCCCACATAGCACATGGGCTGCTGAGTGTGAGCACGCAGGACTGGTTATGTGGCTGCAGGGAGATGGATACCTGGTCGGACAGGGACTGGGGATGCTTCTTGTAAGTTGCCTTGAATGAGTGACACTTTTACCAGCTGAACAGTGCGTCAGCCTGCACGTTGCTCTTCCTCTGTCTTATTAAGGGAGACCCTGCTCCTTGCCTGTATTACTGAGCACAATTCAAAAAATAAATATGTTTTTTCCCCTGTTTGGTAAGATGCACAAAGAGATAGTACGCAGTAACTAGTCTGGGGTACTGGAGATGCAGAGCTATCCCCTGCTGCCAGCCAGGAGCTGCCTGCAAGCTCTGGTCTATGCTTCTGTCTCTGATTTCCCCCTCAGAAGTGTTACGGATTTACCTTTGTGGCTCACTGTGATGGGAGTGCACTTGTACAGTGGCTGTCGGAGAGGAGATGGGCAGGGCTGGCTTTACCCAAAGCCACTGTGCCTATGGTCCAGCTCTAAGACTGCTTGAAAAGCGTTGAGCAAAGGCACAGTAGTATTTAACCACGTCTGGAAGCCTCGGGGTGAGCCTGTCATGCAGCTAAATACACACATGTGCTCGGATCGGAACTGTTTAGCTTCTGTCCCTTGGCACAAAGGCCAGTGTGGGCTGTGTGTGTTGCAAATTATGTGGGACAGACTGACCAGGACTGAGAGGTAAAATGGTACCCGCTTGGGCACAAGGAGTTGGCCCAAGTAGATTTTTTTTTTTTTTTTTTTTTTGAAAAAAATGTGGCTGATATGTTCAAGGAGTTAGGTGTGACCTAGATTGAAATATTGATATTTGCTTTACTCTCAGGACAAAAGTGACTTTCCCCCTCGCCCCTACACAGACATGGAGGAGGCGGTAAAGCGTGTTTTGGGGGAAATATAGACCCTTCCCTTACTACTCTGGCAGGAACTGCCTCTGCTGGAAGCTCATGTCACTTCTAATAACTTTCTTTTAATGTTCACTAAGATGGGAAGACAGAGCTGTCTTTGCCTGTTACCTCGCTGCAGGGCTGCCTCCCTTGGAGGTCAGCTCTCCTGGGCTCACTCGTACCCATCTGAGCCACCCCATTTCCCACACTGTGTGGCTCCTCTGCTTCTCTGCTTTCGGGGGGCTGGCGTGCTTCAAGGGGGTGAGCTCAGCTCCTAACCCCTGCTCCTTTGCCCGCTTTGCGTGAGCTTTAAAACCTTCCTGGTTTGTGTGCTCCTGCAAGAGCTCAGTGTAAGTGAACTGTATGGAAATCCCCTCTCTTGGGCTTGGTGGTTTACAGAGCTTTGCATCCTTGCACTGGAAAGGCCCCATTAGATTCGGTGTTCTTTAGTTCGTGATGCAGGACAGCACGAGGGCCGGGGTGGTGGCTTTGCGAGATGATCTCTTAATAACCAGGCTGCAAGGCTGGGCCGTGTGGGCAGCTGCTCATGTTGTCCAGGAACCCTTTCTGATCTAAGCCGATCCAGATGTGTGTTTTGGTGGTGTGAGGTGACATCTGCCCGTGACAGCATAGGTCTGGGAAAGATATTTTGTGTAATACTGCTTGGTGAAGTGAAACGAGGTGATCTGTACAACTGTCCCCTAGTACAGAGCACCTGAGAAGAGCCCCAAGAGCAGCTCACGTTTATTTATCCCTGCAGGCTACAAAGAGTTAACAGGTCTGCACCTCTGCCCCCTCTTCTGCCACCTCCCAGGCTGGCCCAGCTCCATGTGCTTTTGTCTGGGAAAGATTGACTTTCACCTTGCTCCTGTTTACTCCTAGGCTTGTGTACACAGTGTTGGGGAGGGAGAAGCAGGAGCAAGCGCTGGGTCTCCACACCAAAGTTACAAACTTGATAAAGAGCTCTCTGCGCTTTGGATGCCCAAGTCTCTGCAAGTCTCACTCCCTTTGCAGCTTCCTGGCTGTGACCCTTCAAAGAAGCTTTTAATGAACTCCAGCGTGTTTGATCAGAGACGAGGGCCAGCCGTAAAAGACAGTTCCACGTCTGGAAGACTTTGTCTCTGTCCCAAAACATCATTTGGGTTTTTATGAAAGGGTTTGCAAACGTTGTGGTGAGGATGCGTGGGCCAGGGCAGGCAAGCTGCCTGGGTTTGTTATTTCCCAGAACTAGCCAGCGGCTGGGGAAATTCACACATTGGACAGAAACTTTGCTTGCTACCTCAATAAATAGATGCTCTTGCTTTGAGAAGAGGCTAGTGGTATGCTGGGGCTGTAAGTGAATGCCCCAGAAGCACAAAACGGAGTGGGGTGGGCTAGGGACGGAGCACAGCAGGGCTGCAAGCCCCTGCATGGGGTGCGAGGGGTGCGATTCCTGTGCCTGAACTGAGCAAACAGTGTCTGGCTTCATCCAGTAGTGCAGCCTGTCTCGGGCTCAAACATGAGACCTCTGTGCCCAGCTTTTCCAGGAATGACGCTCATAGTTCACGTGCCTGACGTGCTGGTTGTCTGGCAGGGAATAAACTCATTTTTTTTGCCACTGGCAGGCAGGAAAAGCTGCTGCTCCCCAGCGCATTTGTTAATCTCCCTTGGTGCTTACTGGGGATAAAGCCGCTTAACACGAGAAAGAAATCCTGGAACTAGACTCCTGCAGAAAAGGTTGATTTCTGTACAGGCCCCTTCTAGAGAGGAGCATATTAATAGTAGGGCTCGACTTCAGCTGCCGGGGGCGAGGTGGGGCTGTGCAGTTGCCCAGTCCGACTCTCCCAGCAAGTCTCTGGCCCAGCTCCAGTGCTGGGATAACAGGTGGTGGAAAGCAGATTCAGAGCAGTGCTGGTGCCCCTCTCCAGCTGGCAGTTGCAGATGATGTTAAGCTGAATGTGGCCAGAGACCACTCAGCAAAGGCTGACCCTCATCCTGCAGCAGTCTTCTAGCTTTTTCTTCTTGGCGGCAGCCTACCAGCCGAGAGGATGCACAGGCACCTTCCGTGGTGCCTCTTCACCTGGTAGCCGAGCTGTAGGGAGGACTGAATCCTCTTGGAAAGGGATGCATTTTTTAAGCAATACTCCAGGGAGCTCTTTATGTGGCACTTGGGAAGCCCACAGCCTTTGCTTTTAAGTCTGTGAAAGTGCCTGTGTGCCCTCTCCCAGGTGTGTATGTGAGGAATGTGCCTGCTCCAGACCTGCCCTGCGAGCACTCACTCCAGTGTTAACTCCTCCTGGAGCTGCCCATGCCCCAGCTCCCAGTAGGAGCCTGCTGCCTAGGAGAGCATGTCTTGAAACCTGGAGGGTAAGTATGGAGGTGCCCAGCAGCCCTCTGACTTCCCTGGCAGGTGAATCTGTAAAATCAGGCTCGCTACCCACAAGAAAAGTTTCCCGTATGGTTTGAGAAGCTCTCATGGTTTCCGGGAACTTCCCTGTCCTTGTTCAAGAGGATGATGAAGAGTGAGTTCAGGGAACGCTCCCATATAATCTTATTTATGCTTGTGAGTCAGTAATTTCCTTATTATGTCCTCTGGCTTGTAAACACTGTCTGTCCTGATTTAAATAGGGTTTTTGGATAGCCAAACCTGGTGCATTCCGCAGTATGTACTAATCACCGTGGCTATCTGCCACTGCTTTGCTCATGGCTGGGCTGATCTGATAAGGCCAGCCTGCTGTCCAGCCACTCCATGGCTTAAAAACGGGTTTTCTTGAGCCGCCCTTGTTCGGACATTAGCTGGCCATGATTCATCATGAGGCATGGTGTGAGCTGGCACAGGGGTGCGGCTTGGTGCCCCGCTCTTGCCAACATTGATCTACCCTGGCACGGCAGCCAGGTTATACAGATCTGCAGCAAACGTGCTCCCCAGCGCTGGGATCTGGGCTCTGCCTGCCCCTTGATGAAATGGCCAGAAGCTGTCCTGGGAACAGCTACTGCATGCTGGCAGCAGTTTCCATTGCAGGTCTGGCTTTGGCTGGGTTTCACATATCTTGAAATGAATTTGCCTTGGAGCGAGTGATCCGTAATGTTAGGAATGCCTAGTTCCAGGCTGGGAGGGGATTTCTTCCCAGCTGGCCTTCCTCCCCAGCCCTATTCCCATCACCTAGTGCCAGGGTCAGGCAGAGTGGAGACAGGGGGTCTAGGAGGAGAGCTGGCCTCAGCTCTTCGTGCCCTCCGGGCTGTTCATTTGGTTATCCTCCAGCAGAGTTGCTGGGGAAACCAAAGATGCCTCCATAAGCTAATGAAAAGCACATCTAATAGCCACTGCTCCTTATGCAAAAAGAGAAACATCTTGTCCTGACCACAAGGCCTTGTTGGTGGCAAAACCAGTATGGTAATGGGCAGGGAAATCTGGGCCGGGGCTGTGGGCAAAGGAAGCTGACGCATGGCTTGTGGCCGATCGTTGGCCTTCACTTGTGAGATCAGTAGTGGATGTATTTTGTCGGTCGGTGTCACCGCTGGGCCGTAGGATGGGCCACAGCTGGCTGGGCGAGCGGGGAGGCTGATCCCAGCCCCTCAGGGTCTTGCTGGTGCCCCAGTGAAGCAGCAAATGCTGGGGCTCGGGTGGTGCCACCCAGCTTCATCTATCCCCACGAGTCCCTGATCTTCACCCCCTGTGAGACTGTAGCTCGTGATAAACCTGTACGTTAAGAGCAGCTATGGGATGTGCAGGACTGTGGAGTAAAGGGATGTTGTAAAAACATTCTCTTGGGCAGATAAACCTTTACAAAGACTTTCCAGTCTTTCTGTGGGGACAGCATGAAAAAATGTTGACAGCTTAGCCCTTAGCTATGGACCCATCCATCTGCATTGTGCTTCTCGCTGTAGGGGAGGGGGTCGAGTCCCCCACCATGGCGATGACTTCATGGCTGTAGAAGCATCTGGAGCTACTGGGCTGGTGTTGAGCAACTCGAGAGCTCATAGCTGCGGTGCCCTCACCGGGGCTGGCCCCAGGGCTATGGGGTGAGGAGAAGTAGTTCTGGGGAAATTGCATGACCTTGGTGAGGGCAGGAGGTTTGGGCTTGTGGCTCCTTGAAGGTCCAAGTGCAAATGAGCTCTGGTGCGTAAATGGCCATTGTGGCCAAACGGTCGATTCTCTGGGAGGCTCTCCTGCAGTTTTGCTAACGTGTGTCTGTAACTGCAGTCACCCGGCTGTAGGATTGTGGACTTCGTTTTACAGACTTGTTTGTTTACTTGGATTTTAAGAGGTGAGGCAGAGGAAGCTCTTCCTTCGGGCAAGTCATTATTGATAGCAAGTGCTCTTGAACGTCATACTATATTGCACTGCAATTCAGCTGAACCGACAGACCAGTTTTTAACCCTTGGGTGATAAAATAGGTTTGTTCTCAATACAAGCAGCGGTGAATTGCCTTGGCGTGAGGCTTCAGTGCTATGCAAAAAACTGACCTATAGGTGCCAGGCTTTTTCTCTGGTAATAGCAAGTCCTCCCAAAACCCCCCTTATCGCAAACTGGAGGTGTTGCTTTTCGGAATCGCAGAATGGTAAGTGTTGGAAGGGACTTCTGGAGATCATCTAGTCCAACCCCCTGCCAAAGCAGGTTCATCTAGAGCAATGATGTTTATCTGGAGCAATTGGATTGGAAAGGGGGGGGGGGGGGGGGATTTGAAAAAATGCTTTTGCTACAAACTCCTGATGAGGATCCTGTTGTGTTATCTTCACCCTGTGTGTTCAAGTGAACCTCCTGAACCTGTAGCCCTCAGGAAATTCCCCTCCCATGCTGGCTTTTACTTCTGTTCTGAGAAATTCTAGGGAAATGCAGCTATTTCCAGGCTGATGAAGATAATGCTTTTGGTGGAGAGGAAGTTCAGCATTTAATGTTCTTCTGATAGAAGTGATGTGCTCAGCACAAGCTCTGAACTCCTGACCTTTTGTGAAATGCTTCTGAGGAATTGCCTGATACTTAACACTTCTCCCCCTGTTTACAGGTGAGAGAAACCGAGACCATGGATGCCCGATGGCTTGACTACCCTGCCTCTGGAGACTTGCCAGATGATGAAGACATCGGTGAATTCAGGCCTCGCTTAACTTCTGATGGGTTAGATATAGATGAGACATCTGGGTCTGGAGGTAAGCGGGGAAGGGGGGGAAATGGATCTCCCTCGGTTGATGCTGTGAAATCTCTTCTAGCACCTGCCCATGAGTGATGGGCTAAGTGCACAGCTAGAGCTCCAGAGAAAACTACAGTGTCAGGTGGAGATGAGAAAGCTATGTGACTCGTAGTCACTCACTGATGAGAACAGTGAAAGTGGTTGTATCGTGATGTTGAATCACTCGGGGAGGACAGATGGAGTCCAACCAAGCTTGTCTTACTGCAAGTGAAAAGGCATTGTGCTGGCTGGATCTCTTTCTTGTTGAACCCCAAAGAACTCAGAAAGTTAAAATAATAATAATAAAATATCTATTGTTGAGGCAGTGTTAAAAGGCTTAAACTTCGTATCTTGGCTGAGGCCAAACAAGGTAAAGAACTAACTGGTATTCAAGTGAACTCTCTGTGACATGCAAAGCTCCCTGCCCAAACCAGTTTCTGTAGCTCCATGTCCCCTTTATGTGAACATTTGCCCTTTAAAAGGGAAAGAACAAGTGCTGAAATCAGTGTCTGACATGTTTTGGCAGATCAGGTAACTAGAGGGTTGGCAAACTATCCTTTAGGGATGGGTGGTGAGAGCATTACCCTCTGTTGGCATTAGCTTAGCAAGCTATAGCAGACCTGCTTCGTGGGGCAACTCCTGATAATCTGCAGCAGGGGCCAATGGATCCAGCTGAGGACTAGAGGTGTTGGTCTTAAGATTCCATCTCATGGTCTTGTGCAATCAAAGCCATTAAATGGTGGAAGTACTGGTAGACAAGAGGGAATTGTAGTCAGCAGAGAACAAGACTCCGAGTTTGTCCACAGTTGCTGGTATTGTGGGAAGTGTCTGAATTCTGGAAAAATGGAATGTAATGAGAGGAAAACTTACTGTCGTCTTCAATTATTATTTTTTTTACCTTTTTTTTTTTTTTTTTTTTTCTCCTCTGCAGACTACTCAGACTCTGAAGATGCCATATATCTGACCACTGTGGATACTCCTGTGGTAGGTATTACCTCTGCATATTTTAAGGAACACGTAGCTAGTCTGGTCTGTCTGTGAAGCTTTCTGAATACCCTTCCCCCTGCAAGACGTGGCATCAAGATGAATCTACCTGCATGAGCAGGAACAGTGTACTCATAATGTACTAAGCAAACTTTCTTTTCCCTGCACACGCTCCTACTTTCAACTGTGGGTAGGCTCAGTGCTGCTTACTGATGGGTGTGGTTTGTCTATATTCTGTAGATATCTGACAACTATATCCCTGGAGATGCTGAGAGAAAGATAGAAGGTGAGAAGAAAAACACAATGGTGGACAATGAAATCATTCCAGACAAAGCTGTAGCTGTTGAAGAGAACCTGTCCAACAAGATCTCCATGGCAAGCACATCCAATAGCAGCATCTTTGAAAGAACAGAAGTCCTTACAGGTAATACTCCACCTTGACCTGATAAATCATTAATACTGTAAATCAAAATGGCTTCTGTTGTTCCCTGTTTATCTGGGGAGCAGTTT